TGTGTGTGTGTGTGTGTGTGTGTGTGTGTGTGTGTGTTTGCGTGTGTGCGTGTTTGCGTGTGTGCGTGTGTGCGTTTGCGTGTGTGCGTGTGTGAGTGTTTGTGTGTGTGTGTTAGTGTGTGTGTGTGTGTGTGTGTGTGTGTGTGTGTGTGTGTGTTTGCGTGTGTGTGTGTGTGTGTGTGTGCGTGTGTACAATCTAACCCCCACTGCCCGGCAGTGTTACTATGGAAGAAAACTGCTTTTTATTACCCTTCAATTAAAGCAGGTTTAGTCCGGGAGTTAGAAGGTGTTAGCTCTATTGCAGCTCCAGTTCCCCATTTCAGAATGCCTGGTAATTCACGACCACTCCGAGGTCACTTTTACTTACAATAAGCCCCGCATGTTCACTCTACCTTTATCAAATGGATAATGGTATCATAAACACACTTCCAGATTCAAAAAATATTATTTCAAAATCTGGCACGTACATAGTTTTGAAATTTGTTCAACTGTATTAAATCGATTTGAATGGACATTTCTTACCAATTTTGTTTCGAATACCTCTTGATTCATCTGCTGGCAGCACTTACTGGCCCTTACCGGCGACCAACTCGTCTGCCCGCAAAAGCAACAACGCCTAAATCTCAAAGCTCTCCGGATGTCCCCTCGAAAATGCAATCGAGATATGTATAAGAACAATACTCAAGATCCAGTCACCTGGTCTCAATATCCTGTCATCACCAGGCAGTTGGCGACAGACTTCTTTGCCAAAGCTGTCCCAATCTGCCTTCTCAAGGTTCCATCTAAGTCTTGTCACAGGAGACGGGAGGTCTACAGCCTGTGACAATGAAATAGGGAAATGATCACTTCCGTGTAAGTCATCGTCAACCCGCCAGATAAACTGGTTGGCTACATCCCAAGAGGCTATGGCCAGATCAATCACGGACTCTACCCCGATGGTGGGATCGAACCGAGTCGGTCTGCCATCGTTCAGCACTGAACAACCCAACGTGTCCAGTAGCTGATACAACCTCTCACCACGAACGTCAGTCTTATGTGATCCCCAGGAGGGGTGATGCGCATTCAGATCGCCCACTATCACATAAGGGACAGGCAGCTGCGAGATGAGATCTTGCAGTTTGCCGATGACGTTCACTTCCTTGCCAACCCTATTCCTCGAAGCCATGTATAAGCTAACAACAGTCAGCTTATACGGAAACTGAATGGTGACCGCGGTGCTCTACCTAATATGGTATATCTTCTACTTGGTTGTTGGTGATAAATAATGATGCGTAGACGACATCCATGGCTGGGACTGTCTGCTCTTGGCGTGTTCAGTGACATTAACATTTACATTGTTTTTCAAACCGGATCAACCATACGTCAAATTTTAATTTACTTATTACTTTTTCCGTGCCGTTACACCTGAGTTCTAGCTGATACGATTTTCTACAATAATGGCTTGGGATAGATCTTAATACCTTTTCCCAGCAAGGCTCAAACATGTGTTTGAATCTAGGTCGTCATATTCTACCGAAAGTAATTCTTTTGTACTCCATACCTATCCGACAGTTTGCTCGCTCGTTCAAAATCGATATGGTACATCATAAAATACAATAAAACATTGTTAATGAAACTTAATAAATAAAACCTTAATACAATCAAAGTGCAGCACATGGATGATACACGACTGAAAAATATACAAAAAAATAAAACTAGCACACACCTACTACGCATCAAATCTTATCAACCGAGAGGCAAACCTGCTAGTTCGAGACGATCACGACATTACACATATTCAACCTTACAAATCTATCCACCCCATATAATTGCATTCCTCTTGGCTGGCACCTCCATCACTGATCAGCCGCAGGCCAAGCTCAAACAAGGGCACTTTATTCTTTCCTCCCCTCAAATCACTCTGTGCACAAAAGCAATACTCATCGCAAAAACTTAACAATAGATTAGCGCGGTCGAGTCACACCGGCAACAAAGGGAAGCGAGAGCACTCCAAGCACATAAGCAACAGGGGGAAGACATGTTCACAAACCTTTTGTTTATTGATTTATTTGATAAGGCTCAAACGAGCCGAGGATTCTTGGTCACTATACAATACATCTTAAAACTATAGTCAAAAGGTACAACACAATAAACACTTTACCTTCCGCTATCCAAAAAGCCTCCTCCATCAGAACTGGAGCCGCTTCCAGTGGTTTCATTGTATGACAGTTACGCCAAAGAGGGTCAGAGTGCTTCCATTGCAGCAGTGGACGCAAAACGTGGTCAGCATTCACACACTTATCACTAAACGGTTGCTTTCCAAAGTCGACGACGCATCGACAGAAAGAACTGCTGATGAAGAACAATGAGGAGGACCACACAATGGTTGCTGCGCGTGGCACACATCGAGAGTGGCCTGCTTTTGCCCGTCTGCACAAACCTTTGCAAATTAAACTATCTACCCGGGACACAAAAGCTTCGAAAAAACTCAACGGTGCAAAGCAGCCCGAACTAAAAAATAAAATAAAATAAAAGCACACAGCGGAGCAAACAAACAACCGTTCTCGAACAACTCTCCAAGCGCCAGTAGTGCAACATTTGGATGATGCGAATTTCATTTTTTGAAGATAATTTACGGTACAATTACAATAAAAATAAAGGATCGAACTCACCAAAAGAGTTTCCAGAAAAGCACGGCACGACATGACCAATGAGACTCTTTTCTTTCCAAACTGGTTTCATGGTCTTAATGACTATCACTGTCACGACACGGTTACTAAATACGTAAAAACTTAGGTACTGTTGAGAATTTAAAATATTCAGTTGTCATTTATGAAAATCCTACCTCATGCGGAAAACCCGTTATGCCAAAAGTCCTCCTGGCACCATGCATAAAGTCTTCAACCAGAAAACCATCCTTCCAACAATTATGCAAAACGTCTAGGTTATCTAATAGACCTTCTCCGTCAAATCGTACACCTTTCACACGCATTACATAAAAGTATTTGAGAACCGATTACCCTACCCAAGTAACAATTTTGGTTTTACGAAGGTTCTGTAGACCAAGATTTACACCTGTAGAATGCTTTAAAACCTCGATAAATTGCAATGTTACTAGGGTAGTGTAAGGTTGTGTTGTAACCGGTTTTCTCGCAACTGTGCGATCATTAAAGGCGAAGCTTGAGGCACTGTAATTAAACTAGATCAATTATAATACAACTAAACAACTTGAAAATAATAGATGCTAATACGTGATGAGTCATAAACTAAAGTATTTCGTAACGAAACTTGTATTATCAAAAACAATAAGATTCTTCTACGCCCTTCATTAAAAACACTCAAAGCAATTTAGCTTTATTCTCCTGATAGCAATCGAACATGGCATAGGCCGTATCGCAAGGGTTGGTCCTTCGAAAATCGCACTTATCAGCCAGCTTCTTGGCCTTGTCTTCGGCCATCATCTTGGTCAAAAACGCTAGCACCTTATCCTTCTGCACCACACCTTTCTCGTCCATGAGCCGAAGTTTGGAGAAGAAACATTGAACGTAGCACTAGAGGATGAAGAAGATAATTTATTATGACGATGCTATGCATCACCAGGGAGTCGTCGAGTTGCTCACCTTGGTCGCTTGATCGGGACTTAACATTTTGTCTCCGCTGCGTAGCTTCTTGGCCGAAGCTTCAGTGATTCCACTCGCTTCGATGCAGTGCAGCTTGTAGCCATCGATTTCCGGTAGTTTTGTTAGGTCATCTTGCAAGTGGACCCTGGACTGAAACGGACAACATCGGTATTAATTTGCACAATTTAGAACATTTGATTTTGGGACGGAGAAATCCTACCACCAAACACAGTAGCACAATCGCTAGGATCGACACGTTTACAAATTGGAATGATGTCATTTTCACGAGAGCGCTGGACGACGATCGTCGAAGGTACAGCGTTGACGGAGGTTTGCCACGAACTGGTGTGTCGTCGACCGTCGTTGCAAAATGTGATGCTGCTGAGTTATTGTGATCTTTAAATTAAATGTGAAGGTTTGTGGCAGGGTGACTTTCTCATAATTGCTATTCGTGATAAAGAAACAGTCGAAGAAATTCAATCATGAGAGGCATGTGCAAATAATTGAAATATGTTTTGAATATATTTGCATATCTGGAACCACCCTGAATGCATTCTGCATCAAAATAATTCAGCAATCTACGCTTTCTACAACCAATACAAGGAAACTTGAACATACAGAGGAAGTTGAATTTATAATGATAGAACTCTCGCAGTGGCTACTGCGGCCACAACCACTTGCTACAGTGAGATTTTAATAACTTGGGAAAACACCCTGGTATTACATTGTTTAGTGATAATTGATGCGGAATGTGATAATTTAGGAGGATGCTGAATGTTTACTGCTTACATATTTTAATATTTACATACCTAGGAATTTCGAACAAAAAAAAAACTAATCACAACACGTTTATAGCTGATTTCCAATCAATCGCCGAAAATTTTAATACCACAAAATCACATCACAGAAAAATCACATATTGAGTCAAATTCAACCGCTCTTGTTCCTTTGATAGCAAACCAGCACATCATAGGCCGTATCCAGCGGATCCTCCCTTCGGATGTCGCAATTGTCAACCATAGCCTTTGCCGTTTCTTGACCTTGCACCTTACCGAAGAACTCCACCACGGCATCCTTCAGCATTACGCCGTTTTCGTCCATAAATTGCATTTTCTCGAAGAAGCACTGCACGTAGCGCTGCAAAATTCAAAACAAAGTCAACAACCACCATACTTTCGATCGAAGCAACCCTCTCCTCACCTTGGTCGACCAGTCCGGATTGTCAATCGTTTGTCCTGTGTGTACTTTGATGGCCGATTCCACGCTGACGTCGCTAATTTCAACGCAGTGCTTCCGATAGTCGTCAATTTGCTGGGCTACACTGGGTTGCTGTGAGCCACCACTTTCGATCAAATTTGTTATCAAAAAGATCAGAACGGCGGCAAAGCTCAGCAACGTCATTTTTACGAGATCCACGCACAATGCAGTCACGAACTATACTGAGAACAATTTGGTTCTAATCTGGGTCCAAGGTGGGAAATGGCTAGTGCTTGTGAATATTAATCAGTTATGCTAGAGTGGTAGGGTGGTTCTGAGCTTCGCCATTGTGAGAGTTTTCCTCCCATGTTCTTGACATGTCTTGTTCTCCGTCTGTTCCACGTGTTTTAGAATGCAACCAAAACAAACCACTGCTTCACCAGATGATGGGAGCTTTTATGATCCATCCAATTGTTAAATTTTATGAGCTCATAAAACCCTTAACCGCAGCAAACCGTCTCCGTCACGCTTATCTATGGCCACGGTAGACGATGCCCGTAACTGTCAAAAATGCTTAGCAAACGTCAAACTACCTCCAACGGGGCATCTTTCTCTGGTGTTTTTATTACAGCTAAATGGCTTTTTCGCTCCAGTTTTTATTGCTGCTGCCTGCCTGCCTTCATTCATTACAGAGTCAATTTGATGTTGTGTTTAACTTTTATTTATGTAACTGCAGGCCAACATCAACAGAAGACGACACATACCGACAGGGTATGTGACCTTGTCTTTATGATAGCTGAAGCAGTAAAAATGGCCATTAACAGCAACCGATACGACCAGGCGAGGATGAAATTGATCCGGGTTTTGTTTGAGAAAAGGTTCCTACGTGAAACGGAAACGGATGATCAAATGAATGCAGTTGCAAATTGTTTTACCATAAACCATAGCAGGGTTGCACCCGATGACAATACTTATTTTCTTGTATAGAAACAAGGAAATAAATGTTGCTGTGAAATCTAAATATAAGAAATTTACGTTATTCAGAAAATCAATCTCAAATCGCATTCATTGAGCACTCCTTAAACTCCCTTGTGAATTTTGAAATAAATCTCACACTTGAGATTCTGATGCATATTCACTCACACTAACAAGGCCAAAGATTCATTACAGCTCAAAACTCATAAAATCCGATCAAACGTTAGTTGATGACATGCACATCATTTTTTTGTTAAGTATTCCAGCGAATAATAAATTGTAACGGGTCGGGAGTGTTTTAGCGAAAGAGGAAAATCACGGCCTTCACTTAAGCGCCAGGTAACACTAGGTTACCGTGAAGGGGCAAGTTCTCAGAAACCGAATCCCGTTCCGGCTAGAGACCTCAGGGCAGGTTTATCAAAAATCCTACAAATGGCGGCAAGAATTGCACTGAACCCAACAAACGAATAAATTACCTACAGGGAGAAGACAAAATCATCGGTAAGCGGGGTTTCCTATGATGGTTTTCCCCACATTACCTACAGGGATCTACTAACGGAAAAAAAACTATTTGTTCCAAATGTGTCTCAAATCCAGCCTCGCACTACACAGATTCCGCGGTTTACTAAGGACATGCAGTTTAAATTAACGAATTCGTTTCAACATTTATTTATTGCTTCCTAGCTAGGGTTAGTGGGCTTCACTTACTGGATATGGCACTGTTCAATGTTGCTGGGTGATGTTCGTTGCGCGCGTTGTTGCATGTTGGTTGGTGTCTGCGATGATGGTGACAGGTAGGTGTAGCAAATACCTTTTTAACTTGCTTTTATTTGTGGGATAGCACAAGATGGCGAGACTGATGTTAGTCGATGGATGGCTCGCAGCAGGGAGCTTTTTTTCTAAATATGCCGACTTGGCGCGGTGACAACGAGGTGGCAGGGTTTTAGGCTCGTGCACGACGGGATTCGACCAGCTATGCCGACAGAGCGCTGTCGAGCGGGGTTGCACGTCGGAAGTCGACACGTGCAACACACAACTTTCCACCGAGGGTAGACGGTAGGGTTTTACGGCCTAAGGGTAGGACCTTCGTTTGAAGGATTTTCCTTCAAGCGAATTTTAGCGTGTTAGTGTTACATATTATGTGTTTTTTACTGACTGTTATTACCTGGAGTATGGTGGTACACTAAACAACGAAGGTGCTAGTATTCCTGAAGTTATATGTATATATATCGCTCTGTAATTAATATCACTGTTACTGTCCTTGTCTAACTTCACATTAAATGTTACAAACCTCCGTGTATGCTTTTTACGTCACTTTAACTGCCTGGTATGTCTCACTGTCTGACCGTTAATTTTATTCGTTAACTTATACCTTCCCTACTTGCCACCTTACTATTGATCTACTATGTCCTATGTTCACCTTGTTCACTGTCTCGTGGTTGGAAAGCTTTTCAAGAACACATCTGGAACAATCATGGCTCTACCCTCTAGGGAGCTACAATACCCGGGCATTCGTTGGTTCGGCTCGGACTCGGACGTATTTTTCCGGTGGGCTAAACAAACTCCCATTTTTAATCTGTTTGACAGATCTGCCGTGAGTTACCAACCGCAACTGAACTCAGTGACCAAGAACGGTTTTTTAAAATAAGTGATGCCAGATTATATAAAGGATAGGTGGGATACTTTTGTAACCTCGTTACACTACCCCCCACTATTGGTAAAAATAAATGAAGGGAGCTGAATTTATTTTTTTCATGTAAATTTGCACAGCTGGAATTCTTGTGTATATAACTTCCAAGGTCTAAATTTAACGGTATTCTTAAGTGTAAATCAGTTTTGATTAATATTGTACTATTGGTTTTCATGCCTAAATAATTTCCAAAAATTGTGAATACGAATTGATTGGTCCACCCTAATTTTCTTAAACCGATATTCTTTCATTTCTGTTTATTCGAACACATTAATGTGCTTTTCAAATTATTAGCTACCACCTTTCAGTAAGGCGAAAAACGCATACTAATGAATTGTGCCATAAATCAACAGCTACCGCCTTTCAGTACGGCGAAAAATGCATACTAATGAATTGTGCCATAAATCAACGCCGAGTAACTACTTAGCTGCGACTCCCATCTTCAAACCTCCCTTGACCATTATCAAGAAAATTGTGTACATACTTGTCAAGTAAATACTCAACCAAATCGTCAAACAAATATTTTCATTTCCAGTGAAAACCGAAGAACACTCACAAAATTCAATTAATTATTTTCTTGTGTGTATCCAGTTGTACCGACAATCGGTCGACATCTATTGGTCGACTCTTATCGATTAACTGTCAAATAGGTGGACCCAGTAAACGGACTCTACTTTAAATCTAAAAATCTCTGCGGTGACATTTCTCACTGTCATAACAATCTTCACCTATTTCCGTTGTCTGACTCTTACACTATTTGCATTCACATCGGGAAATTGGAAGTCAAACGCGAGTTTTTCTGTGAAAATTAGTGGAAAATTTTTACAAAAAGGTAGGAAAATGTCCTGCCTCAATGAGTTTTCCTCTTCAGATATGGTGTTCTGAGTGCAACGAAATTCCAAGAAAACCATGTGAAACCTAAATTCCTTAACCTATTATCTACAATATATGCCAGACTGTTCCTTTTACTCAAATTTTACAATGAAATTCCTGACAAAGTATGGCAGAGGATGAGATTTAACCTACTATTTACATTATGTACAAGTATGCTAATGGAGCAACTAACATAAAACTCAGATCATGGCTGTTGGGTTAACATGCGGAATATTCTAGTGAACCATTGACCAGTGCGGGGTGTTTTCGTGTTTATCAACGTTGTTACATATTTCTTGTGAAGATGTTTTCAACATCTCAACCTGATGTCTGTACCTCCGCAGACTCCCACTGATTTCTGTCTTACATTCCCTTCTTAGCTTGACTACGCAAGCTCCGGGCCAGGGTAGTTACGCGGGCTGAGATGCAAAAGGCGGAAAATATCTTCACAGAATATATTACATAGCTGTAAAACCATCAACAAAACTGGCCACAAATTAGGTTATCAATCTGGGTGTTTTGGAGGCTAAATATTCACTCAAAGTGCCAATTGCTCGTAGTTAGATCGTTATTAGAGACAATTTCACCCAGTGCTATTACCGAATCCAATAGTTTGTATTTTCGTGGAACGAATCCGTAGTTACGGTGTACTAAGACAACCGACATAGCTTGAGAAAACATTATTTACGTGTTTTCACTTCTTCTGAAGATCAGATGAATGAAACACTCCCAACTTATTTCCATTTAGATCCTCTAAATCATAACATGAATTTCCTATTCTTCCTATCACTCTAGCAGGGGCATAAGTGTCTGCCAGCTTAGCCGAGAATTTCTTAAGTTTATTTGAAAGGAAGAAATTTTTCTTCATTACAATTTCCCCAACATCGTATAGTGGTGCATCTTTGTTAGACCGTAGATTATAATGTTTTGCGTACCTGATGTATGCTTTTTTTAGATTTTCTTTTACCGTTTCGAACACCTGTTTTAGATTTTCATTGATTGCGGCTGGCTCGTATTCGTCATCGTTTCCTGCTTCGCGTATTTTGCGGTATTCTTCGCCAGAGCTTATGTAATTTCTACCATAGTTCACAAAATATGGGGTGAAATTCGTCGATTCGTGAACAGCTGTTCGGATGGACATAGCAACTTTTTGAATTTCCTTATCCCACTCTCGGTGATCTCCGTTCAAGTGGGCTCGAATTGTTGCTACTATCACCCTATTTACCCTTTCAGTTGGGTTATTCGCTGGATGATAATTCGCGTTCCTCCAATGGTTTACATGATACTTTTTTAGGAGTCGTTCGAACTCTTTTGACTTGAACTGGACCCCATTATCCGATATTATTACCTCTGGTACACCAAATAATAAAAATATCATATTTTCTAGGAAAGCAACCATCGGAGTAGTTTTGGCTTCCCTCAGAGGTTGAATAATCACAAACTTCGAAAACCAGTCCGTAACAACTAGTAACATGGTGTTTCCGTTTTTGGATCGAGGAAAAGGACCAACAAAATCCACGGAAACAACCTGCCAAGGCAATGATGCCAACTTTTGCCGTCCCATCAGTGGTTGCCGATTCGAATTTGGGTATTTGATGCGCTTGCAGACGTCACACCCGAGGCAGTACTTCCGGACGTCCTCCTGCATTTGAGGCCAGTAATATCG